ACAATTTGTTTTTTTGCAACAATTTCTTTTTTATTACTTTTTTTTTCACACTTCTTTAAATTTAGATGCATAATAAAATAGTATTATCATTTTGATAATAGCAGACAATTCGTGGCAAATAATAAAAGTGAAAAAGAAAAAAACAAGTAATCAAGTAATGTTTATCAAGTAAATCCTTCATTTCTAAAATTATACTTTGTAAATGTATTTGAAATAATTGTGAATTATCTGTCCCACCACTTTTTTTTTTCGTAGGAATTAATGTCAATTTGTAATTACAGAAAATTATTGAAATGATTTAATGCTTAAGTAAGTAACGCTTACAATTTATCAATGTAGCATTACTCCGATTGGATTATTCCCTCTTTCGTTTTTTGTCTTTTTTTTTTTTTTGATAATTTTTAAAGAAATGAATGCATTGTTGTGTGAAATGACGAATCTGTTCACCGAATTTTCGTCAAGTTTGTAATTTCAATGAAACATTTCAAATGATAAATGATATTGCTTGTTTTCCGATCGAATCTCCCTTTCTTCTTTTTTTTTTTTTTTTTTGAAGATAAAGAAAAAAGACAGAATAATCTTTTGAATTATTTCAATCTCATTTTACTTATGGGAAACGATCGGAGATTTCCTAATAATATTCACAATATAATTTGGTTGAAAAGAAATTGAAGGTTTGTCATATGAAGACTGGTAAAGGACATTTATAATATATTATATATTGGATTGCAATTAAATTGATCAATAAAGAAATTGAGACTAACAATCTATTCAATTTTCCTTGAATTCATACTTTCCCTATATTTCCTGTTGTAATGTAATAATTCAAAAAAAAAAATTTAGAATTTGTTTATGAATTATTTTTAATAATTTATTTCTACTAAAAATACATTAGAATAAATAATTAAAAGTTAGTTAAGTATTGTCGTATTTTAAGTTAAATTTCAACATTTAATCTCTCTTATGCTTTTCTTTCCCTTTTCTTTTCTCTCCCTCTCTCTATCTTTTTTTTCTTTTTTTTTTTTGCTGTTTTTATGATTATTACAACTTTTTTTGACGAAAAAAATTTCATCCTTTTTCTCTTTTCCATGTTTTAACTTCAAAATTGAGTAAAAAGGAATGTGATGGGATTATTAAAATTTATCGAAATGCTTACAATTTTGAACAAAAATCATTTTTGCTATTTTTTTTTTTTTAAAATTTAAATCTTTCATTGTGATTATTTTTTACAAAAAAAAAAAAAAAAAGAAAAAACGAAAAATGTGCACATTTTGTGTTGTACAGTATAGCATAAAAAAATGTTTCATTTCAAGATGATTTGAACAAAAAAAAAAAGGAAACAACATTGAATGAATAATGTTTAAGTTTTTTGAAACAATAAAAAAAAAAAATTTTTTCATCTTCTTCCTTTTTTCATTTCTCGTCATCCGTTGGATCAGAATGAAATAGCACTTCGGTTAATCAAATTCAGTTCAATTAATCGAACAAGCAAAGAATATTGTAATTGGTAAGATTTATCGGGAAAAGCAATTCAATTGATGATATTTTTAAGCATGAAAGATTTTTTTGAAAGTAATAAAACTTCACATCATATTTTCTTATTTCTTTCAATACGTTCTTTTTCCCTTCTTTTTTTTT